AGCAACTTGTATTCTAAGAAAGATATTTCAATACATGACATTGCTTCCGCGTGCACCCAATATATTATGAATGATCTAAACTTGGAAGCTCGCATTGGCACTTTATCTGCTAGGCACATGGACTTATTCTCGATACGGATACCACTATATCTAGGTTTGGTTAGGTTAGATTATATGTGAATGGTTTCATTAACTCAAATGAGTTTGCTACTTGTGGAGAGGTCATCCATAATTCTAAAAAATTTAGAATAAGGGATTCACAAGATTTATGAAGTTTCATTCAAGTACTGTTGCTGAACTTTTAGCAATCCTTAAAGGGCTTGAACTATGCTTGGCAAAAATTGCTGAGATGTCAAAGCTCACTTCAACTCTTTGGAATCATCTTACATATAGTGAAAAAAACATCACTACTATATATATAGTTGGCTATACTTCATAGTTATTTTTACACATATTTGATGGTTCACAGTTGTTAAGTAAGCTCCCATCAAATATTGGAGGTGGCTATATTTGAAGGGTTATGAAACTGCCAAATATTGGGCCTAAATATTTAATGCTCGGAGCCAACCGTAATATAATAGATGCTTAAAGTTGGCCAATAATTACTATAACAATCAAATATGCCCCTCTTATTCGACGGTTATTATTCTCAATCACATTGGCCATCTCTTTAATACAGCCTACCTCTTTTGTATTTGTATTGAAATCACATAACACAAAATTACTACAACTACTTTTGGTCACATTCCTTGTCTCACCATACTTATACCAACAGTTATAAGTTTGATCAATTCTGTGACATACTAAATGATCTTCCAACTCACTCTTGCAAACCCGCTTCAAAAAACCACATTTTACATAAGGACACGATATTGTTATGGTCATCTTCATGCTTGAATGCAAGCTTAATAAATTCTTTCACTCGATTTAAATATTCCTTTGACACTCAATTCACAGACATTCATATCTTATCTATAATCCTAATCTATGAAAAAAAATTTATGAAATGTGATTAGTGGCTCAATTATAATGGAGGAGTACTTGTAACAAACACAAGGAATATTAACTAATTAAAACCATCCATGAGTCATGAGCCACAAGCCACCACATACAACACAATCCCTTTTTAAGCTAAATTGAAATAAATACTTGCAACTATATGTAATTTTTTGGGAAAGTAAGTATATATTGTAAGTATTAAATGAAAATTCGGCAACACAACTTAAAAATAAGACTTTTCCAAGCATATACCTTCTATTCATACTTAATTTCATCCTTATCCAATTTAATTTAATTACTTTTAAACAAAAATTCGATAGCATAATAACTTAAAAATGAGACTTAGTCGGGGCATTTTGCCCTCATTTTACTTCATCCCTGTACAATTTAATCCAACATAATCGAATTCTACTTAGCCATAACAACAACAAAATTCACAATGCAATGGCATTATTATATATTAATCTAAATCCTTTCACATTATAATAACTAATAGGTAGAAAATCTCAACATAAAAATCACAAAAGTAGAATAAATTGTAAGTAAATTCATGTTTTCAACACATAATTGTAGGTAGAATTTAATACCAACAATTCAAGTTGCACAAAGTATTAATCAACAAAACAAGTATAGCAACATGTTCAAAAATTTCAATTTCCACAACATAAAATTCAAAAAAAAATGCAATTTAAACAATCAAAAATCAAAATCATCAACAATAAGTAATTCCTAAGCAATGTAGGTAAAATTACTCACCAAAATTGAGCAAAAACAACCCACAATGCTCCAATCACGTTGGTCAATGGATACCCAATAGAAATTTCACAATTCACAATTGAAATGAGCATAGGGGAAGCTTTAACTCAATTTGAGAAGTTTGAAAATGCTAAAAAATGATAAATTCCAACACTCATATGCAAGAATAATGAAAAATTACTTAGCCATAGTCGCAAAGCTGAAAGAGAGTGAGCAAGCACAAGATAGAATCCAAATGAGTGGAGAAAGGCCGAAATTTCAAATAAATGATGGGGAAAAGTCAATTTTAAGGTTGAAAGCTTGAAATGGGAGTGAGTTGGATGAAATTTTGGAGAAAATGAGTGGCGACAACGACCACAACTATCATCAACATAATGAAAAAGATAAGTAGTGAGGGATTTTTAAATTTTTATATTTGACAGTTGTTTATTATAACTTTCAAGTTAATGGTTGTTCATTAAAACCATCAAACATCTGAAATATTTTTTTTTTCAGAAAAATATATCTTCTTAAGTTTGAAGATTCTCCTTCACAACTGTCAAATTTAAGAAATTATATTTTATTATATTTGACAGTTCACAAAGGGAACTATCAGATATGTAATCCTACCTCTATATATTTGACCGTTTCTACAATAATTATCAAATATAAGGTATCGTTTATGAGCTTTTTTCAGAGTAGTGCATGCTAAACCTCTTGCATCCTCTTATCAATTCTATTAGAAGAATTAGGAATCTTCTTATGCGCGATTGACAAGTTTTCATTGATCATGTTTTCAAAAGAGCTAATCATTCTGCTAACTAATAAACTCATCAAGTAAATGATGATAGTTTTTCAAAATGAGAATTTTTAATTGATGAACCACCATAGGGTACAGGGACTCTTTACGTTCCGGTATTGCCTAATTTAATTAGTTTGTAACTGCACAGGTTTGACCCTAGCCTCGTCAATTCAATATATATATATATATATATATATGCATAGCATGCAAGTGGTGGGAAACACAGATGAGCAGAACAACTATATATATATATATATATATATATATAATAAAGCACAGTTATCAACAAAAATAGTTCATGCTAAGAAAAGACACGACCACTTTTGGATATTAATTTCATGGAACAAGATAGAGAATGATAAGGTTTTTAAGGTACTATTTTAGAGAAGGAGACAGATATGGCAGCTTCTTATATGCTGTTAAACCCATGGATAATGTTGAGTTAAGAAGAAGCGTCCATGACCTTAAGGAATGGTTATGGTTTCTACTGTGTTGTTGAGACATCTGTAATACCATGAACCTAGTGCTATTGAGTTCTCATCCAATCAGTGTGAGAAAAGATTAACATGAAAGATCAAAAGTGAAAGAGAAAGCAAAGAATAAAGCACACTGAAAGCTACAACAATTCACATACATAGTTAAATATATATGGATTCAAATAACCTTCATACTAAGTGCATGGTACGTAGCACTGAAGCAACACAACTAAAGAGCTCACATTAAAGATCACTGCATTTAGTGGTTATTTAAAAACAAAAGGATCAATAACAATAATTATAAACTCAACTTTGTTTTGTTTTGTGTTGTGTGGATTCTATTTTTTTTTATGTTGTTGCAAATTATATGATTCAGGTTTTACTTGGCTTTACAAAAACACAAAGTTCAAAGGGCTTGCATATATAAACCAAAATATGGATTTGAGTTCAAGTGAGTCTTGAACAAAACACTGATCAAACTTGTTAGTGTTCAAAGTTCAAATGCTGGTGCCAAGAAGAAGAGGATGAACTTTAAGAGGAAATATAGAAGTAGATTTGATGCTATTTACATACTTTCGTTAGGAATGAGGAGTCATCGCTTGGAAATGGGGGAAGAGTGCAAGTGGGCAAAAAATGACAAAAAAATATCACATCTTAACTCAAAACCTATTTTACCACTTATTAGGAATGAAGAGTTATTGCCCAAAAATGACGGGAGAAAAAAATTGGCAAAGAGAGTGATAGAAGGATATTACATATTAATTTAAAATCTCAAAACTCAAGTTTATAAGCCATTCCTCTTTATTTTGTTTTAATTATTAATATCAATTTTATTCGATATGGGATTTTCTATATTAGCTTAAGTCTACTCACATTTATATATTTTAACAATCTTTTTCACTTACATGCTCCTCTTTTATTCAAGTTTTATTTAATATGCATAGGATTTCTTCTGCTCTTTATTCACATTTGGTTAAGAAGTAAAGAGTACGACCATATGAACATGAAGTGTCTGCATAATGGGTTGCCTTGTTGTGCTTAATAAAGAAGATTATTAAATTAATTAATTTAAATGGCTGCAATTTAGGTACAAGATGTTAACTGCTTACAAAAATTTATTCCACATGCATGGGTCCCTCCAATTAATATCCACATACATACTTAAGTGGCTCATGAGTCATCAGGATTATAAAAATACAAATCAAAACTCAATTCAAATAGATTACCTTTTAAACTGGCCTTCCTTGCGTCATCTGTAATAAGGAATTATTGGCTGTAATATTTTTCAACTTTAAAATTTTCTCTTCTATTAGGTAGGGTCCTCATAATAAAAAAAGCAAAGAAAAGAAGAAGAAAAACCCTGAAATTGACTTTAGCACCACTTTTATGTGCCTCTTTTTGCTTCTCTTCAATAATCATTTCTCACCACACCATCGTTTCTGGTTCTTTTGTGAGTAATTCAACCTGATGCCAAATTTTCAAACCATAGCCATTTCAATTGCAACTTATAGGTGGGAACTCCATCTAACAATAATCTACAGAGTCACATGTAAATAAACTAACAAGTCATGGACTCTTTCTTTTTGGTAATACAACCTGGTATTTTGCTCATCTTAACTAATTTGTCAGTATACATAGAGATTCATGGTATAACTTTTTGCAGTTTAGCTCCAAGACATTACACATACTCACTTTCATTGCTAGACCAAACTGGTGGAACTTATGACAGATGGGGTTTATGACATGAAATATGCACAAGCACTTATAGGACAAAAAGTGGACTTTCTCAGGATGCATACACATGCATATATTAGTAGCACTTGCCCAATAATTGTTTCAATAGTTTCTGCTCGTGTAAGCCATTAGTACAGTGACTGTTTTTTTTTTTTCAAAAAAAAATTTTGCTTAACCCGGCCCACTTTTCTTGCCCTCATCCTCCTATAAATTCCCCCCACTACCCACATTTCTCCATCATCTCAGCAATATCCACATACACAATTCCAAGCCTTCAAGCATACCATCATCATAATCACCATCTTCCTCATCTCAGGTTTTGAGAATTCCACCATGGTTCCAAGTGAAATCAGAGGGTTCCACTATCCGGCGCCTGAAAATCCCATCTTAGTTCCTCCAAATCTCGGCTTGTTTCAGCATGGTGATATCCAAAACCAGATTCACCTGAACACCCTCTTGAGCAATTTGCCAAACTGCTACTTCCCTTCTGGTTCAGGAAGCCTTGAGTTTGTTCCTCCCCTTCCACTTGCTTCTTCAAGCTGCTGCCTCAGCAGCAACTCAACTTCTGATGAAGCTGATGAGATTCAGCTCAGCATCATTGATGAAAGAAGGCAGAGGCGAATGATATCGAACCGAGAATCTGCCAGGAGGTCCAGGATGAGGAAGCAGAAGCACTTGGATGAGCTGTGGTCACAGGTGGTGAGGCTCAGGAATGAGAACCACAACCTCATTGACAAACTCAACCATGTGTCTGAGTCACATGATAGAGTTCTTCAGGAGAATGCACGACTCAAGGAAGAAGCTTCTGATCTTCGTCAACTGCTAGCTGACCTGAAAATTAGCTCTTCTTTTGCCGACAGCATGAGAGATTTTGATGAACTCAGAGCTGAGCTATCAAACTAATATATCACTTCTTTAAAAGCGGAGGCTTTTCTTGTTTTGTTTTCCCCCTTTTTCCGTACTGTAGAAATATACTGCTCTGCTGCTGCTTCTTCTAGCTTTGTGGTTTATATAATCATCATCTTGCCTTGCCTCCAGAGCTGGTTGAGTTTACACACAGATATCCAATAACAGCTCTTGATGAATTTTTCTTTTCTTGCTTTGTCCATAGCATGAGCAACATAAAATTTCACACTTAAGCCAATAATCCAAAATAGTTACTATGAACATCACGCCGCATACAAATCAGGTGGATTATGCAGAAGAGTACTGTAATGTGTACCTATCATAAATTTTGTGGTGTCTCTATCATTTTCACAGCCCACCAACTTTTGCACCCAGTATATTCCAAGAAAAGCAGACACAAATGAAAATAGAGCGGAACCGAGGAAAACAAAGGGCCGAGAATAAAAGAGTTTAATCAAAAGGAAGAAAAACAGCCCACTTCTGCCAGGTCTATTGTACAATTTAGAGGGTATGAAGGAAGAGATTAGTCTTAGGACTGAGTTATGCACGTGAAAAAGTTAATAGATGCTATCGTCAGTCTGAAACAAGGCCCCAAAGGAGTGGTCCGTTGTTGTTGTTGTTGAAGGAAGAAACAGTACCAATAATAGGACAAATGCTGGTGGAGATTCCGGTGCTAGTGGCTCATCATACCAATTCCTTTCATGAGAAACAAAACACATGAAAAGGGTATGCACTAAAACTTAAATCAAAATAACTGTTAAGCTTCTTTTTTTTTTTTTCCCTGAGGACATCAATGCCTTTCTGGGTAGCCAAGCCAAAGCTTCAATTCTTGTCACCAATATGGATTATGTCAAACACAGCCTATGCTTCAACAATTGCTTGAAATAGTACTATCTTTTACAAAGAGACAAGTTAGTGCATCAGCATTAAGCAACCTCAACTCTTCTTCTTTTTCTTTTTCTCTGTTTTTTTTTTAATGTGTTGTTGTGCATGTGTATGATCTGAACTTTCACTACCATATGTAAAATTCGGGTTCTGAAGAAGGTTGGAGAAGATTTCTGTATTTTGATATTTAGAAAAATAAAGCAGACAAGAATTAACATGAGTGAATTTAAGTGAAAGGAGGCGTGTGGCATCATAATTGTAAAGTTGACAAACCAATCTTAATGGCACCATACATTGCCCACAGCAAATCTCCTAGCCTTTTGACAAATTGTCAAATTAGCCCACATTTTGTCCACCATACTAGCAAATTCTTTGAAGACAAGTCAAAATCCAAAACCTTCAGATAAAAGGTTTTCATTCTTGGGAAAATTGTGTATATTAGAGAGATTAATATCAAGATTTCACCATCTTAAATCATACTTCTAGATTTCTTTACCATACAAGACCTTAGCTATTTGTACCAGGCGAACGGTACGTTTCCATGTGATAAAACTTGTTTCTGATTTTCTGTGTAGTTGCTGACTAAAATTTAGCAGGCAATATGCTGTAAAAGAACAAATTTTTAATGCAGAAATATTATTTGTGGCAAGACATTACATAATCACTGTAAGGTTTAGGCAGGCACATGGATCATACTTCATCTTTGCCTCTAAAGTTTTCATGCATGAGTCACGCTGGATAGTGACCTAAATGCACTTCTTCTAATGTGTTTTTTGCACAATTTTTTCTTCAGTTGTTCTGATGTGTGTTCTTTCAAAAAATCTCTTTGCCTGCATCTTTATTCGATTTCATCTGTCACACTAAGGATGGTTGGATTTTAGTTGCGGATTTACAATATTCAATTATGCTTATAAGACTTTATATCCTCTTCTAATCCAAACTACTAAAAAAGGAGGCGAATGACAATTAAAGATTTTGTAAAAATATTAATTATAAAAAAGAACCTTGAATTTTTAAAATTTTAAAAAAGGACTAAGGTCTTTGGTTTGATTTTTATTTTTTGGTTGACCTTTTCAATGCTCATATTTACTCTTTTAGTACTTATCATTTCAATTTTTTCAATACTCAAGTTTAATATTTTTAATACGCATATTAAATATTTGAAAGAATTGCTTTCAAGGACCTTCCAAGAGAATTTTGTGCAAATAAAAATCAATAATAGGTCATTATTTGTAAAAAAAAAAAGCCTCTGTTACTATTTTAATAACAAACAATTTTATATTGGTCCTTGTCTAAAATAATTTTCTTAAAAAGTCCTTAAATGTGATTCTCCCTTCATATTTTCAATACTAAAAAAAAATTAAAAATAAGTTTTGAAAACTTCAAAGGCAAGTACCACAAAAATGTTAAAGATAAGTATTAAAAAGTTTAAAGTTGAGAACCAAAATATGAGTGGTAAAAAAATCAACTCAAAAATTTTAAATTCCAATCAAGGATTAGTCTTTTTTAGAATTTCAAAAATCAAAGATCCTTAATTGTAATCAATACTCTTATAGAATCTTTAAATGTCATTTTTTGAAATTAAAATAATAACTTTTCTATGTTAGACATATGTTTCACATTTAGTATTAAATTAAAATATAGTGTAATTCTATACCATTAAATATTTGGTTCAACTAGTAAAGAAATTATATTAATTTAACCAAAAATCTTAAGTTCATATCTTAAAAGTGATGTAAGTAAAACTTTCACCTAATAGAGTCAAAGTCAAGAGGTATTGGCACATCATTTGCCAAGTTCTACTACAAAAAGTTTTTTTTTTTGAAAAAAAAAAAGGCCAATTGAATCTTCTAGGAGCAATGGAATTATTTTAAAGAAATGAACCTCTAACATAACTCTCTTGATATGAGTACCTTTCTAAGCCAATAGTTTTGTCCTGTCTTAATCTAGATTAGTTTAAACTCCTATTCAATTCCCTTAGCTCGATCTGAGGTTGATTTAGAATGCTAAATATTTCACACAAGAATAAAAACAAAATAATCTTATTAAACAAAGGGTCAGAGGATAGTAAGGACGAGAGGGAGTATAGTGTGTGTGTGTATTTTATATTTTACCTTCATGCTTACAATCATGAATGTTCTCATGTTAGTGTGTATATCTATTTGGTGGCTTGAATTGATCTTTTACTTTACAAATAACAGGGGAACAAACTACAATTTTCACCTTCAGCTTTTGAATATCCAAGTTGAATCATGACAAGATCATCTTCTTCTTGCATACATGTCTATGACATAGAGTCAATCACATGAAACAAGAGGAAATAGCACAACAACTTTGAAGATATATGTACAACAGAGCATTATCATTAATTTAAACATGTTTTCTTCTTACAATTGGTTTCGAAGATAAAAACAGCTCGTGTAATCCAACTACAATCGTCAAAGATATCAATGTCAATGCATCCAACTATAGGCCATGATTAGCTTAATGGAATGTCTGACACAATTAGTCAGCATTATGTTTATGCGTGCTCAATTCTCCACTTCTCATAATGGACCTCCCCAAAATTCCCTTTTTTAATTAATTAATTCATTTTTTATTCATCACAAAGGCAACTATAATCTCTCTTAGATCTGTTCGAATCCAATATGGTTTCTGGTAATAGTGATAGATACTATTTGCCTCAGATCACAAAGCAGAATTCAGCGAACGTAGATAAAATATGCTGCACTAGTACTATTTATTTTTTCTCTTCTTATTTCTTGACCCCAGAGTTAAAGTTGTGTCTTTATATATATATATATATATATTATATTTAAAACACACACATACTGATGAATCTATGCAATTCAATCACAAAAGAATGCTTCCAATAAGATTTATGAGATACAAATAGTTCAGTTTTGTTTTAGGGAATAGTCACATGCTGAAAAGTGCTATAAGTGAGACCAGTTTCATGTATTGTTCTCAAAGTTTTGTCCAGCTCTTGAATCGATCTCATTGAAATTAATGTGGATGAGTGAAAGAAAGAGAAAGAAAATTTAGGTCCCGATTGATTGCTATAAATGAATGAAATAAATTAAAAATAATATGAAAAATGAACTAATCCACTTTTTTCTCTTATGGTAAATATAATAAAATTTATTAATATATACTACAAATATAATAATTATCACACCCTCTAAAAATCTCATAAATCATGATTCCTAACTATATAAACTAAATTACTTATCTTTTTTATAAATATAATTTATCATTTCTTTTTTATTTTTATTTTTTCAATACATTCCATTCCATTCCTAATTTCATTATTTTTTTTTTTGGGCCTAACCGAATCTCATTATTTAATGACTATCGCTTGTATGTGTCACGGACTTATTTAATGAGAATTCTTATTTGTTTTATTAATAAAGTATAACTATAATAGTAGATTAAGCAATAGTCACTAAAAGAAATCCATGCAAGAAAATACAAGTATCCTTGAATTGTAAAATCCATCGGACATCGCTTCATGTTTAGTGGTATTAAAATTGTGCGGGCCCCTTGAGATGTTCTGGAATTAAGTGGACTGTTCGAGGTACTCCTCTAATCATCTTTATACAATAGAGTGATAAAAAAAAATGATTTTATTTATCAGGCAGTTGTTAATTTTTAATGTCCCTCTTTACATTTTTATTCTTATTGAGTGTTTTTGACTAAAAATATAACTAATAAAATTTAAGAATATTTATTAAAAATAAAAGTAAAAACTTATTAAATTTTAAGACAAAGTTAATAAAATTTAAATTTTTTTTATTTTTGTGAAAATGATAGAAGTAATTTATAAATAGGATTAGATAGAGTAATTATGGTTCATTTGAACCACATCAATGTAAAAAATGACTAAATATAACATTGAAAAAGGGAAAATGACCATGAACGATCCATAAAATCATTAATTACAAATAATTTATTATTAAAGTTTTAATAATAAATTATAATACTTACTTAGCATTAAAAATATATATGAGTTTATAAAATTTCCTCCAGACTTACTTAGAAAATAAAAAAAAGACACTACTAAAATTATTATTATTAAGTTGGGACTATTTTTTATATTAATAAATATAATATTAAAAATATTAAAAATTAATTTAAATGAATGGCAAATCAATTTGAATTGAAACAGAGGATCAAGATTGTTTCAGGCCTTGATGAGCACTGATGAACACCGGATGTAAATCCTAAATTTTTGGTGGGTCCTTTGCATGTGCTCATCCCTAAAAGTTGAAACTGTGGAGGCGAGAGCACAGGACTCAAGTTTTACAGCAAATTCATGGGATCAGTTGTTCTTTTTATTGGGAAAACTTACAACTATTTAGTATTATTTATTTAATATAAATATGTGTGGAACTTAGTCGAAAACGTTCCTTTATTTCTGATACACTACAAATATTAAATGGTTTATTTTTAATCCTTATAATTTAAAAGATAAATGGTCCACTAGCAAAAAAAATAAAATAAAATCTCGTATTCAGAAAATATAAACTAAATTTTTAAAAATTTAAAAGTGTGACCAATTTATATTGATATATAAAAGATTTATCATTAATATATAAACAATTTATTATTAGAAATTGGAAAAAATTTACAAGGAGTTTATTATTCATATATAATAATATATCATTGATAAATATAATAAGTCAATCATAAGACAAAATATAATAAATATTAAATTGTATACTTAGTTTGATCCAGTAACATTAATTATATATGCAAAAACCTCTAATTTAAACTAATATTGAATTCTGTTCCTATAATTTCATATCATTCCCTATAATTTGGTCTCTTGGATTAGTCATTGTTAGCCCTGTAGTTTGGGTGGCGGAG